CCCCCCCCCCCCCCCCCCCCCCCCCGACCTCATACTGGTGCTTTTCCCTTTTAGATTTCATAAGCACGGGAGAGGACAGGACTTTGAGGATATGGAGACAGGGAGAGTGCTCCCAGACCATCCGTCTGCCTGCCCAGTCTGTCTGGTGCTGCTGTATTCTACCTAATGGCGATATAGCCATCGGGGCCAGGTAAGAACTGCATTTGGCATGCTGTGCGGTCAGTCTAGAGTCCATGATCGTGTTCCCTAAACAAATATTTAAACACCGTGTCCTTCTACTGTTCACCACTTTCACTTCTGACATTTTGTGGCTAACCCAGACACTGCTTGTCTGCCCACAGTGACGGCATCATCCGCGTGTTTACGCCAGCTGAAGACCGCATGGCGAGTGTAGAAGACCTGCAGGCTTTTGAGGATGAACTTGCAAAGACCACCATTGACCCCAAGACGGGCGATCTTGGAGACATCAAAATAGAGGACCTCCCTGGAAGGGAACACCTTAATGAGCCTGGTTAGGAAATAGACTGACATTTATGTCATCATATTGTCTATAACCACTGTGTATCTGGTGTTTCTGGTTCACATCTTACACATCCAATTCCCTCCATTAAGATTTGTTTTGCTTATTTCCTCAAAGGGAATCGCGACGGACAGACACGTCTGATCAAAGATGGACAGAAGGTGGAGGCATATCAGTGGAGCGTCAGCGACGACCGCTGGATGAAAATCGGAGATGTGGTCGGAGGCTCAAACCAACAGACCTCCAAGAGCGTGATGTACGAAGGAAAGGTAAAGGCCGTAGGCTTAGTGTCGAAGCAAACTATGCATGCAGGCATGAGAACAGTCACGCATGACTCCTGATCTCCCCTCAGGAATACGACTACGTCTTCACCATTGACGTGAACGAGGGAGGGCCGTCCATGAAGCTGCCTTACAACTTGTCAGAGGACCCCTGGCTGACGGCGCACAACTTCTTGCAGAAGAACGACCTCAGCGCCATGTTCCTCGACCAGGTTGCCAATTTTATTATAGAGAACACCAAAGGACTTGTGGTGGGACCAGCCCCGCCCACTGGTGGTGACCCATTCACTGGTGAGGCCAAATGATTGATACTTGGGTTTGTTTTTCAGCCTTTCAGAAATAGACAATGTCTTCTATACTATACATTTTGATTACAGTAATTAAAGGTTATTAGACTGAATTGATATTTTCCTGAAGGTGTTTTGTTTCTTCCTCTGACAGGAGGGGCTCGGTACATCCCCGGGGCTTCTGATGAAAGGTCAGGTTTTGGAGGCGATCCCTTCACAGGTACAGTATGTTTACTGAAAGATTTCTCACAATCTGAATATCACCAGAGACGTTATTTCACAGCAGTTTTTTTTCTCCACACAGGCTCCGGTCGCTACATCCCAGGGTCGGGTCCGAACCCAAGTGCTCGTGGAGGCGTGGCCGATCCCTTCACAGGTTAGTTACTTACTGAAGGAACCTCTGAATTGTGTATAAACGATAGACAAACTAAACTCATGAGGTCTTACCGCTGACCAGGGATTGATTTGTGACAGCTGTTCAGCGGTAGACTCACAGAAACATTTCTCCTACATGAAGACAGCACGAGGCAGTTGTGTTTGTTAATCTTTTAACGTTCAGTGTTTCTCTCATTGGATCCCTCTGCTGCCTACTCTACAGGAGGAGGTGCCTACAGACAGACGTCAACCAACATCTACTTCCCCAAGACCGACAGTGTGACCTTTGAGCAAGCCAATTCCTCGCAGATCATTGGTGAGCATTTTAAGTCTGCATGTGTCAGTTGAGAGTGACTGATACAACCAACGCTTCCTCTGGCTTTGTCTTAAATACGGTGCTGGAAGCATCAAAAAGCTCAAACTGGTAGAATAGATATCTGCACACTTGGATCAATGCAGAGAACACTTTATTTTTAGTTTTCGGTGTAAAGGACCTTGATCAGAGTGTATGCTTCATCTTCTTCTGTCAGCATACGCTCCGATGAAGGTTCTTTAGACAGAAAGCTAAAAATACACTGTTCTTTGTATAGATTTAAGTGTGCGGATATCTATTCCCTCAGTTGAGAATGACGAAATCTTTCTAAGAACTTTATTAATGAATTTTGAGTGACACTTGAATTGTGTCCAAAGGCCCTGAAAACCTTTTTTCTCGATCAGCTTCTTACTGTGTGAAGGGATCATTTGGGAACATGGCCATTTCTGACAAAGTTAGAACAGTTTAGATTATGTCACATTATAGACTTCAGTATTGTCATGCTGAAATGTTGGTAAATTATTTAATTATCAAACTGTTTTACCTTTACACTTGTGTTTTCAACTGTGTCATGGTTAATGATTTCTTCTTTCCTCGCCAGCTAAGATAAAGGAGCTGAATGGAGATGCACCTCAGGAGCACCGGCTTTCCGAAGAAATTCTGGAAAGCCTTGAGAGGCTGCTTGTATCCGTCTCTGAGCCCAACTCTTCCAAGTCTCCCCCAACCATCCAAGAGATCAACCTGCTGTGGAAGGCTGCTCACTGGCCCGAAGGTACAAAAAATGAAATTCCAACACAATTTATGGTCGTTTCATATTTGCGGATTGATTTTTATGGTTTATTTTTAGTGATAAAGTGAGATTTTTATCATATGACCCCTTTCAATCTGCACCACACCGCTAGATGCCACCAAATCCTACACACTGTCCCTTTTAAGTTTCTTCAGTTTATTACTGTTCACTAACCAAACGGCCCTTTCCCTTCCCATGGACTTCAGACATTGTGTTTCCTGTCCTGGACATTATGAGGCTGGCGGTGCGCCATCCGCAGGTTAACGAGAGCCTCTGTGGAGAGTCGGAGGGAGTCCAGTTGTGCAACCACCTGCTGAGCCTGATGAGGCCTGAGGGGCGTCCCGCCAACCAGATGCTGGCACTGCGGACTCTGTGCAACTGCTTCGGAGGCAGTCACGGCCGAGCCCTCCTCCTGGCCCAGCGTGAAGCGGTGCTATCACGTGCTGCCGACCTGGCCGGCGTCTGCAATAAGAACATCCACATTGCCCTGGCCACTCTTGTGCTTAACTACGCCAGCTGCCTGCACAGCCAACCCGATCTCGATGCCAAGGCCCAGTGCCTGTCTGTGGCCAGTAGAGCTCTGGAGACGGTACAAGACAAGGAGGCTGTGTTTAGGCTACTGGTGGCCTTGGGAACCACTGTGGCCTCAGACCAGACAGCCCGAGACCTGGCTCGCTCCCTGGGTGTCAACTCTCAGATTTCCAAGTTCTCATCGGTGTCTGATTCATCAAAGGTGGCCGAGTGTTGCCAGCTGGTTTTAAAAGAACTACAATGATTTGACTGATTAGAGGGGGAAAAAGGGCCACTTCTTTCTTACTATCACTCTGTTCAGTTGTGGTGGAGACCTAAATAATTGTATGTTCTGCAATAAAAAAGGACAAACTAAATCTCTACATATACTTAGCTTGTGTTTTTATTACTGCACCACCTTTCTAAAGCCCGTGACTAATTTGTTGGGTAAATGTGGGCCGAATGCATGTAATAATGGCTTATAAATGTGTATGTGTGTGATTTGCTACTGCCATTTAACACTTTGACTTGAAGAAATAATACCTGAATAAAGTACTATTACAGAGCAAGTGAAATGCAAATTGTAACTGGGGAAAAACAGCTTTGGTGAGGGACGTGGATATTGTGATGATTAAATGTCCTCACGGGTTAACGCTTCTTAATTTCTTATTAAATTAACCAACTGCTAACCTATACACTACTTATTTGGGATAAGAGCTCTATTTGCAATGCTACACAAAATTTTCACAGTTTGTAACTGTTCTTTCAGTGGTTTAATTATTAAAAAGAGTCTAAAGCAGGGGTTCTTAACCTTTTTGACCTCGGGGCCCAACTTTTCAAGTACAAAGTGTCCCGGGGCCCATTCAAATATTAACACTATTAGTTTAACTAATTGATCTCACTCTTGGTTTGATTTGTATTCAATAACTATATTGTTACCTGTTCAACTCCACCCCTATTTTGGAGCAAAACCGCCTAAAATGACATACCCAAATTAAAATGGCTGTAGCTTCTGAACCACTGTGACTATATGCATCAAAAGTGTCAGAAAACCTGTAGGTCATATAGAAACAGAGCAGTGGGCCTTTGCAGTCAGTAAAAATTGAAGATTTTTGTCTGCATAAAATAAAAAAGTATCTTTCAGTATAAATAACTGCCTGTGGCTGTATCTGTACAGGTAAATGACAGTATAGGGCTGTAACTACACTATCAGTGAACAACTGCCTCAAATTTGAAGAAGATTGGACAAAGTATGACGATTCTACAGTGTTTCTTCCATGAAGAGATCCAGGCGGAGCTCTAAAAGGATATTTGGAGACCCAAATGGACACACGGTAACCAAATGATATTCTGACACACTAAAGGTGTTTCTCCCTTTATATTTTGATATTATATTATTTTCCTTTTATTTTTAGCCGTCGCAAATTGCAAGAAATATATATATATATATAGTCGAAGAAGTGGTATGAAAGTAGGGGACTTAGTGTGCGTAATGGCTGCGACTGAGCGCACGATCGAGTATGAGGGAGCTCAGTTACGCAAGGTTAAACGTTGGTTGACGACTTATAGAAGAGAAAGATAAGGTTTGTACATTAAGTACTAGCGTTTTCTGAAGCTACTAGCTCCATGGTAACATCCGCTAGCACATTGTTGGGTCTGTAATGTGTCTTTTCCCGTCGAAATGCTGCAAGATCCGACTTGCAGCGGTTATGGCGACTTTGGATAGTGTGTGTTTGGGCTCCTTTTGTGAAAAATCCATAAGAAATGAAAGAAAATCGATGGTTTCTTTACAAAGATGAGGGTTTTGGGCATGCTGGGATACCAAACACGGCCATGTTTTGTGACGTAGTTTGCGCGAGCAAGCCGTAGGAACGGAACGGAAGGGGAGGGGATCGAGGACGCCGGCGTCCTCGCGGAGTTGAACAGGCAAAATCCTTGTCAAATAAAAGATGATACAATGTGATGATCACAAACATTTATTTATCATGTGTATG